AAAGCCGGCCGGCCGGGTCTATTTAAAAGTTTCATGTTATGAAAACCAAGTAATTAAATTTGTATGGCCTAATATATATATCTTCAAATTTTTTATACCCCTACAAAATTTAAATTTTTTCTTAATTTTAAGCAAAGATATTTAGTAACTTCTTTAATTAAATTTAATATATATTTTTTTATTTATATTTTACAAATTTGTAAAATCAAAATAAAAAAATTTCATCAAATTTGGTTAAGTAGTTACTATGATATCTTCGCTCAAGATTTCAAAATATTTACTTAAAACTTTAAGCAAAAATAACTCAATAGCTATTTAACCAAATTCAGTTAATTTTTTTATTTTAATTCTACAAATCTGTAAAATTAAAAAAAAAAGTTTATCAAATTTTATTGAATAAGTACCAAGATATCTTTGTTCAAAGTTTTTGAAAATTCAAAATGCCTATCAAAATAATAACTGCAGCAAAATTTTAAAGTTTTGAAAAAATTTTGCTACAACTATAATTTTTGAAATTTTTCAAAGTTTTGAACAAAGTTATCTTAGCATCTAACTAACTAAAAATTAATGAACTTTTTTTTTTTTTAATTTTATAGATTTGTAGGTTTAAAACAAAAAAATATTTATTAAATTTAGCTAAGTAGTTGCTTTACTCAAAATTACAAAAACTTTTTTGTATTTATTATTTTAATAAACATTTTAAATATTTTAAAACTTTTCAAGTTTTAATAAAAAAACTCTTTCTTATAATCATCTGGACCAAAATTTCTCACCAAACAAAAACAAAAATTTTGTTAGAGAGAAAAAGACCTGCTTATGGAATAGTTTATATAAAGGTCAACTTACTTTTATGGAGAACTCCTTTATATATTTGGCATGCAAACCAGAAGTGTTAAGAAACAAGATAACTGGCAGAAGTTGGCACTCTTAGTTTCAAAATTTTGGAAAAAAGGTGCTTATGAAAAGTTGGGGCTTTCTTGTCAACAAAGTAATTCATAACACAAAAGAATAGAATAGAAGGAGAACAACAAATGAGTTTTTATAACAATACTTCTTGGAAATTTGGAGACGTTTTTGAATAATATACAGCTGGCTTGGTTCGAAAGGAGCTTTAATGTAAGACATGAGAAAAGTGACCTATTATAGGCATAGCACTTGTCGTTTAGAGATAGTTCTTATATGCTATCTGCTGACAAGCTCAGAGTTTATTACTTACTGAAAAGACTAAGTCTGTGCAGGCTTGGGTAGACATTTCTTGTATTTCCTTTTAGTTTTTTTACCTTTCTCCCACTTTTGCTATTCTCTCCAAAATTCTCGAAAAAAAAGTGGGTATTTGGGCTTACCCCTCCAAAAGATCGGTAATATTTACATCTTTCTAATTCAAATATACTCAGTAGAATGCAACCACATGTTTGTTTTGTTTATCAATATAGTGCTACAGTATAGTAAAGAGATTGGCTTCCCCATTTAGGAGATATCTGAGTTTCGTCAGTGTCTGGAATGAGTTCTTTACAATAAGGTGACATCTTACAATCGAGATATATTAATTAATTGCAATTATTATATAATTTTTATCCTTATACCTGGCATGAGCTATAATAGTGTGTCATAGCTACTTTTCTTTTTTTTCGCTTTTTCATCTTGGTTCATTTATGTTAGATTTTTTAAAATTTGTTGAAAAGTTTTTTTTCTCATCGTGAGGTGTTTTTTTTCTAAAAGGTTTATGTCTTTTATAAACATGGCTTCATTTTTTTCCATTTTTATATATAAATAAGGGTTTTAATTTTGTGGTCAGGCTTAGGTAAAAGAAGAAAGAGGTGGTCATAATGGGCGGTAGGTACCATCTGTTAAAAGCTGGATCATATCCAATTGCAGGAGAGATCTGAAAAGAGGAGAATTCTACTATATCAGGTCAAACATAGATACTCATTGAGCAACTGGGTTAGTTTTTACTTGTAATTTAGATATAGTTGTGTGGCTCTTAAGCATGGTACATGTCATTTAGAGATAGTTTTCATACGCTATTTGCTGACATGTTTAGAGTTTATCACTCACTAATAAATCTCTTTAAAATTTTAATAGTCTAGATTGATTATTACAAAGTTTAATAAAGTAAAAGTATAATTGCCAAATTGTTAAAAAAAAATATATATATTTTAAAACTTTGAGCAAAGATATCATAGTAATCACTTAACCAAATTTGATAAAACTTTTTTTATTTTAATTCTACAAATCTGTAAAATCAAAATAAAAAAAATATATTATTGTAGTTTATAGAATTTTATAACCTCTATGATTATTTTTTTTTTTTTATGTTTAAATGATTGTGATTGTGATCGCAATTGCTAAAAACAGCCAATTTATTATGAATCTGAGTTTATATCAAGCTCAGATTTATGACAAATTGGCTGGCTTTAGCAATTATAATCACAATCACAATAATTTAATTTATAAAAAAAAATTAATTATAGGAGTCACAAAAATTATACAAACTACAATAAATTTAATTAAAGAAGCTACTAAATATTTTTGCTTAAAATTAGAAAAAAATTTAAATTTTATAAAAGGTATGAATATCAACCACTTTTTTTATTTTATATAATTATAAAAAGTCCCATGAGGTTGGTTCTAGACTACATGCACCATATAACAAATCAAAATAAATCTAACTTGAAAAATTCACTTTAACTTGAAATTGAATCAATTGTTAATGCCAGCCAATTAGAATTTATTAAACAATGAATTTTCTGATTCATATAATCTGTTTTGATACAACTAATGGTGATATATAATTTATTGGAGTTAAATAGGCGTCGCACCTCTGCGATGTACTTGTACATCACATCTTAATGATAGGCCAATAAAATTTTAAGATTATGTGTAACGTAATACGATCAGGAAGGTTCAAAACAAACGTTCATTTTGACAAAAGTCATTATAACTCAAAATTTCACATATGAAACTGTCCTTCGCTTTATAACAAAAAAAATTCCTTGCAAAATTTTACTATAAAGATCTCTTCCACACCCTAACTCTATCTAACCCTAACCCTAATAAAGCGGTTTATTTATTTATGTTACGCCTAAACAATAAATAATCATATATACATGCGATATATAAGCACATCGCAGAGTGCGATGCATACATTTATCCTAATTTATTAATTGAAGAAATTAATAACTTTCATATCCGGCTTTTATTTGTTATAACAGCTCATTTATTGAAGAACAAGGCAAGACATTAAATAACATGGTTCAACTAGTGCATGGCGAAATAAAAAATCTTGATTTTCAAATTTGTGAAACTATCAATGGCGTTAGATACAAATTTTATTCTTAGTAAATATATAAATCTAACAGGCATCCGATCTTACTTTAGACTTCGCGGTAACTTACCATGAAGTCTAAAGTCAAATTAGAGTAAAAATAGATTTTGTAATTAAAGCACAATACTGTAAATCGATAGATTCAAAAAATCAAGGTTTTGTTTGATTTTGCCGAGCACTAAGTTCAACGGTGAATCAGGAATCATAATAGTCCGGATACTTAATGAGGAGACGGATTAAGTAAAATAATAAATTACATATTCTTTACATATGTATTTACATACGTAAGTAAAAATTATGGCATGATACATTTACGTGATTATGCACATAAAGTTACAATGCATAAAGCTGTTACAACAATACGAAACGTACTGTGCATGTTATGAAATACCGTAACTTGAAATTACAACAAATTATAATTTAATTACGATACGGCATATCCAAATGCATGATTTTCAACTGCATCACTGCACATACACGCCGAACTCACACGATAGAGTCTCGCGCGAGATAAGCGAAATATATTTAGGTTTATCTCTTAAGAGTACATCTTCACGCATAAATATATTTCTATAAAAAATGTTCACATTATATTGTATTAATTTTATTAAAGTCTGGAGCAGAATGAAATTTTCAAGCTCTGTTTTACGAAAATTCAATCCCGATTCTACTATTCTTATATTGAGTTCGGCTTTCAGAAATTTTAATATTTGAATGCCAGGTTTGTGGCGCAAATTTACAACCACGCTTAACAAAATTCTTGATAATAGGTTAGCGTTTATTTTAGGGTCAGATGCTAGCCATGTATGGTGAAATCTCAGGTGTAACTCTTTATGTTAAAACTGCAATAAAGGCATCTATTGTGAAGATTTTTGATTTTTGAACAAAGCGAAATGATCATAATATGTTACACCTGGTCTTGAACCCTGATTTGTAAACCTACGCCACAAGCACAAGTGACTTGAGCTTTTAGTAGTGATTACTTAAGCTATTACATATATGGTGACGAAAAAATACCTTCAAAATAAAATCGGCAGGAAATACAGCAAATTAAAAAAAAAAAATCTTTCAATTTAAAAATCTTCAATAACAATCAGTTAATTATAAGAGTGATGGTTAATATATAAAAAACATGAAGAAAATGATTTTTTTTTATTTATGAACATAAAAATTACATTATACACAAATATCTTGATGAATCGTGAGACCAAAAGCTCACGCACAACACAGCAATAAATAATGAATATCTTCTCGTTACTTCCTAAACTAAAATAAAAATCTATATAATGCACAAAAGAAATCTTACTCAACATTTTTAGGTTGACTTTTTTTTTACATCCAACACCATCACTACATATACATTACCATTATGTAATCTTGCAGCTATTTGGGTAGATTTGTGATTCCATTCAATGCTCATAATATCATTCCCAAGACAATGTGTTTCCACAGTTAAATAAGTTTTCACATCAACAATGTTCAGAAATGAATCTTTAGAACCAGAAGCAAAATAACGACCATCCGGAGAAAATTCAATAGTATTAATATGTGATTGATGTAAATGTATCTTGTGCCAACAGCGAGGTTCAAGAGCATCCCAAAAGCGTACAATCCCACTATCCTTTGAAGTTGTAAGCAACCAGTGCTGTTCAGTAGTAGATTTTGGATGCCACTTTGCAAGAGTGATATCACCATCTTCCGAAGAAATAGTTTGTAAAGGTTCTCTTTCTTCGTTAGACCAAATCTTACAAGTACCATCTCTTGCACAAGAAGCCAAATAATTTTTTGTAGGGTCCCATTGAATAGAAAAAACTTCACCATCATGACCGGCATATTCAAAAGGACGAATTTCTAGCTTATCATTTACAGAAGATAATTTCCAAAGAATGACTTTACCATCACTTGAGCAAGAAGCCAAGGCATTATCATTCCAAGCAACATCAGTTACAGTTTTTTTATGTAAATCGTCAAGTCTTGAATAATTACCATCTAAATCCCATAATAATATAAGATTGTTGACATCACAACTTACAGTAGCTAAATAATCTCCTTTTGGACTCCATTTTATCTTTGAAACACTAGATTTATGACCATCTAATTTTCTACGAAAAATACAATCATCACGATAAACACCGGCAATTCCAGTATCATAAGAACAAGCGATCATATCACCTTTAACAGTCCATTCAACCCAAGTTACAATAGGATCATGACTCGTAATAAGATGATAAGTAGTGCTCATAACATTTTTCCAAGTATTTGTAGCGTCACCATTTATATCTTTCCAAATTCTAACTTTTCCATCTCTTCCACCAGTAGCCAAAACATAATCACCAGGTTTCCAAGCACAAGTCATAAATTCTTCACCTTGACGTAAAAGATTATTTAAAAGAGTGTGACTTTTATCATCAACTTTATAAATGAGAGATTTTTGATGTAAAGTTCGAGTGGGATGAGGTATATTTCTGATAACAGAAGAAGGTGAAGGAATATTTTGAGGAGAGTCAATTTCCATATCGTCAGGAAGAGCTTCAGGATCATAAGAATCTGAATAAATAGCATGAGGATCACAATGTGAATCATCATCATAAGGCTTAAGTTTTTTATCTTTTAAAGATTGAGAACCAAACATAAGATTAAAATCAGATTTTTCATCAAAGTTAAAATTTTGAACAAGTTTACCCTTATCTTTTGAAGTAACAGAACGATGAAAATCATCAAGTTTAGAATCATCATCTCCTTTTGAAGAAACAGAATCTTGATCAAGTCTAGAACGTAGAGGTTTTGATTTTTTGACGGCACTTTTTGAACCGAAAGCAACAGTCTTTTGAGATTTCTTACGACCTCTAGTAGTAATAGGTTTTTTACTTGATTCAGGAGGGTCATCTTGACTATGTATTGAATCAGCATCAGAAGTAGATTTCACATCATCATCATTATTTTTAGATTTCTTACGACGAGAAATATCAGATTTTGAATCATCAATTTTAGAAACTTTTAAAGGTTTCATTGAAGAACCCGAATTACTTTGAATAATTTCATTACGAACACTTTCAGAATTTCTTCTGATTCTTTTTCTTCTTTGAACTGAAACGGTATCGGGGATATGATCAGAATGAGGAGGGGGTAAATCCCGATCAGATTTAGAGTCGTTACGGACGTCTACTTCGCCTTGATAAAACGAATACCTTTTAGTTCTAATATTTTATACTCAATTAATAATTCCTTAAAAAAAAAAAAGAAAAAAAAAAAAGGAAAAAAAAATATAGGCAAATAAAAAGAAAGAAAAAAAACAATAGAAAATAAAAAGAGTAAAATAAAAAAATAAAAGAAAGGCAACAATAATATAACATGACAGAAAGTAAAAAATAAAAATAGAATAAAATAAAAGTGATAAAAAAAATAAATAAATAAAATTAAAATATACCTTCAGAAATGAATGATTTCACATTACCACTACCAGACGATTTACTCATATTATTGTTACCATTTGAAGTACTCGAGTTATTATTATTTCCCCTATTTTCAATATTGTTATCGTTATTACCATCCCTGTGAATTTCGTTAGGTCCGTGTGGAGGAGAATCGCCGTCTGGAGAATTGGTATTTGTCTCTTCCGTACTCTCATTATCAGGTAAAATTACATCGCATATATGCTTCCCAATCAAATTTAATTCAGCCTTACAGTTTATCATTGGTCCGTGCAGAGGAGTGTGGTAGACAAGATCTTTATATAGCATAGCCCGACGAATAGTTAATACCAGCGCATCGCGCTTTACGGAACCTATATCTAACTTTTGAGCAGCAGCATTCTTTTCCACGTTAGCTTCAGTGTTAAAAACGAAGGCAGAATGTGCGTAATTATGTTCAAGCAAGTAACGATATATTAGGTAATCGATCTCTTCACTACGCACAGGCATTTTGTGCTTCGCCTATTCTCATCGAACCAAAGTCGATCGAAGAAGGGAAAAAAAAAACTAGAGAAATGGTTGTATCGAAAACATGAACACATCATGTTGAAAAACCAGGTGATATTAGTTATTAGTGGCTTGTGCGTTTCACTAATGTGTAGTACAAAAAGATCATGCGAATAACCAATAATTACCGTAATCAACCAGATTGACATTACACACATAGCTTAAAATTTTTGTAATAATCGACACAGTAGGATTTAGTATTGATTTACAATTTTTATTTTATTTTAACTATATCAGATATCCAAATTGAACATATATATAACAGTATAATAATAAGCTAAAAAATATTCTTATACGTATTTCATATAGAAGAAAAATAAAAAATAAAAAAACTGCTAGCGTAATAAATAATTCTTCTGATCCACCCTCAATATACCATCATAGATATTACTATTGAGCGTCAAATAGATGCTTCATGATGAGGGTCGATTTTCTCACCAGTGCGTTGTTCATGAAGTTCGGATAACTTGTTCGCAGCGTTTACTCTTTTAAAATAAAATTAGAAAATTTAATTTATATTTTTTATAAAAATTATTATTAGGTAGAAACGAAGAAACGAACCTAGCTTCGTGAAACACGGTCGGATTATGAGAGGCTGCTTTATAAGATCTTTCAGAACGTGCTTCATGAGTATCAGATCTAATGCGTTGAGCTTGAGATTCGGGGATTTCTTGGTCAGCCATTTTGCTTAGAATTTGTTTTGATCAATTGGAAATTGGAAATGCTTTAAATGTGTCTTAAAAGTGTTTTAAATTTTTTTTTTGATGTTTTAGAATTCGTTGTGTTCTGGTAAAAATTCTGGCGAAAAGGTTTCTCTATTTATAATTTTTTTAAAATGCAGTCACTCTATTTACGATCTATATAATCATGAAAGATACGATGGTAGTCGCATATAAATTTTATCATCGTTATGTTTTTACATCACGAATGTAACTTTACGACATAATGAATTACAAAAAGGAAAACGAAATAGAAGAATTTGGAAATTTAGGTTAGTATAAACGATTAGAGCGGGTCTTGAAAATTTGACATAGTGATCTACGACCGTTTGAAACAGCTGTAATATCTACAGGAGCGACCGTCGATGTTACACGACTGACTTTTCACCCGGTGTGCAACATATAAAAAAACTATTTTACA